GAAGCTGAGGCCGAGGCTGGTGGCCGCGGAAACTTTGGCAACTCCGGCCCCCCCATCTGGAAGCGTGACGCCGAGGCCGGTGGCCGTGGCAACTTTGGCAACTCGGGCCCACCCATCTGGAAGCGCGAGGCTGAGGCTGAGGCTGAGGCTGGCGGCCGTGGCAACTTCGGCAACTCTGGCCCCCCTATCTGGTAATCAGTTTTGTGAGTGCATACGATACGTTCAAATGGACATGTGTGCTGACGTCAGCTCGTAAAGCGGTCCCAGACAGTTCGTTGCCCTCTGCGAGGGTCCCTTTTTGTTGCTATAGTTAACAGTCTAGACAACTTTGTAGAATGCACGCACATCTTGCTTTCACTTTGCTCAGGAGGTGCGGTGCGGCAATGGGAAGGATTGCGGTGTGATCACATTCCGCGAGAGAGTTGCGAAAGGCTCGGAGGTGTTGGGTGCAATATGCTGCCGAGGAGCTCATCAGCCTCCGAACTGCATGACGACTGGCCGGTGCTGAGCTTGACGCATGTACGAGAGCGGTTATTGATGTTGGCGCGTCTATGCCGTGACCACACGGAAGATGACGTGGCAGCAGGGCTGAGTACCATGTCGCTCGACCATCGTTCCGCACCCTTACACAGATGGTGCCCCGCCGAGTCCGTTCGCTAACCGACCACTTAAAGTGACGGACCCCGCCCCGGGCGAAAATTGCTGTTGTATTGTGCGCAACTGGCCTGTCGGAGTTTGCGTGTCTGGGTGCGTATGCTTGTGTATGTCGAAAGTTCATCGAGGATATTCTAGCAATTCAGATTAGCTGGCGGTGAGGCACTCGATTGGGATCATGGCAAAGGATCTGCCTGCTTCTCTGCAGGACACATCGCCGTCCTTTGGACATAATGCGGTCATGCTCCGCCAGACGTCTGCTGATAGTATTTGACAAGGCTGCTCGGAGTGCGCCTGGAATATTCGGTGGCAAGATTCTTCAAGAGACTGGTGGCGGGTGGAAGAGGGTGGGAAAGCGGAAGGGACAACGGCGAGAAGGAGGACTCGGTACTCAGTCAAACGGCACCGATCGGGCGGTCTGAGACTATCGTTCGCTTGTCGTCTGTAGACGAAAGTGGCTCTGAACAAGATCAACGAGAGTTCTTCTGGGAAGTGTTGAGGTGACAGCCATAGATAGGCAAGAGCAGATTCATGTATGAGGTATGCGGAACAATGCAGCCAAATGATGGTTCTGCGGAAGAAAGAATTCGAAGCCCACCAAATTGAACCCGCCACTCAAATTGGCTCCGTGACACAAATTACTCCCGCTATGCCACACGCCAAAACGCCGAAGCGAAACTGTTTCTGGCCAAGTTGAACTCGGCGGCGAATGTCGGTCACTTCCTCCATCCACATCAAGAGCATCAAAAATGGTGAGTAGCACCCGAGCAATCGCGAGGGGAGCAGTCGCGAGGACAGTAGAGAGCACAACGCTGACGCACAGGGTAAGGTCTGTATTTTCAGCCCGACGGGGCGCGCTGCGGCGTACACAAGCTGACGGAAGGTCCCGTGACTGGTTGACCTGGTCGCTTCATTATGTGTTTAGGGTACTCCTTCCTTGTGAGTTGCGCGCGATGGTGATGGGGAGAGCATACAGCTAACGGGCAGCGGTAAGCGCCACTCGAAGAGCCACACGCTCTGCCGCCGCTGCGGCAACCGCTCGTTCCACAAGCAGAAGCACAGTGAGTGTTAGGAGGGAAGGTGACGGAGATGTCGACAAGCATTTCGAGTGGGGAGGGAAGTGTGCAGATGTCAACGAGCGCGGGGGAGTGCGCTGTGCTGGTCGAAGCGCGCGCTTCACCGTGGGCATTGGCTTGGGTTGGAAAACTTGCACTCCGGCGATGGGGTGCGACCGCGCCGCGATACGGCCGCCCGCCTGCTCCAGCTGCTCGATCAGCATCCACTGCGCCCCACGCACTTTGCAGCGCCCACTTTCTGGCAGCTTCGACATTGCCCTTCCGCGCGCTGCCAGGAACCCGCTAACCCCCAGCCTGTGCTCAGTGTGGCTACCCCGCGGCCAAGCTCCGCTCCTTCAACTGGGGCCTCAAGGCCAAGCGCAGGAAGACCACCGGCACTGGCCGCTGCGCCAACCTCAAGTCGGTGCACCGCCGCTTCAAGAACGGTTTCCGTGAGGGCGGTGCCGCGGTCAAGAAGACCAAGGCCACCACCTCGGAGTAATCCGTCGACTACCATTATCGCGTGGTTATAGGCGCAGGTGCGCATGTACTATATCGCAACGCGTCGTTGGTGGGGTGCTTTTTAGGTGCTCTGAGTTGCAGGATCGCGGGGCAGAGCGGCAGCGGCAGCGAGAGATCTATGGGGTGGTGCTCTGAGACGTCGGCGGGAGTAGTTTCTCGGTGGAAAAGTCAGACTACTAATTGGAGTGGGGCGGCAGACATGGATATGCCACGTGGTATAGAATAGAGCGGGGCAGAGGTATAGGGGCAGAAGTTGTCCAAGTCCCCGTTAACAGTTGCCCCTCCTTCGCACCAGGCCTCCCCTATGTTGCTATCGTGTGATCTTGTGAGGCTTCTCATGGCCTCTCTCAACATCTCTTGGACAAGAATACAATACCCTCACATGAGTCATATGAAATGATAATGCACGGCTCAATGCACGGGAACCGCATACTGACTGGAGCCTGAATCGCACAGCTGTACAGCGAGGTATGCCCATGCCTGGTACACAGGTATGCCATGGCTAGTAGTAGGCGACCTCGACACCTGTGGCGCAGGAATCTGCTCATGGAAATCACATAGCGCGTAGCGTGTCTCGCGTCTCGCGTCTCGCGACGTATGAGGACGCATCGACGTGGAGTACATAGGGGAGACTGACGCGCCTCGCCAGCTCGCCAGCTCGCCAGCTCGCCAGCCCATGGAGCCCAAAGCCGACTGCGAGTCACACGTGCGCCGGGCGAGCCGGCGGCACCTCAAGACGGACAAGAGCGATACAGCCCGGCCGCCGGCGGGCCGGCGTCGCGCTCGCGCTGCGGCCGCGATCGCTTCCCTCTGAGTACGCAACGATTGCGGCGGGGCTCGTGCAGATGAACGCCTCGCGCCTGGGTCCTCAAAAGCGGTATTTTGGAAACGCATGCCACGCCCCGTGCGCGATTATGCAGAGGCGGTGCAGTCTGCCTGACATGGCTTATCACTATCAGCCGGTGGGCCGCCAAGGGCGAGGGAGGATGTTGAGAAGGTGCGGAGGAGCAGTCTTGGCGTCTGATACGTGGCACGTCAATGATGCGGCAGCGACAACGCGACGACGACATGAGAGGATGAGAGGATGAGAGGATGAGAGGATAGGAAGCACGAGGCGCCCGGCCAAGCTTCACACAGGGCAAATCAAGCCACGAGGTGATCGGCGTGTCCTGAGTTAGCTTGCTGCTTACAGCTAGCATCAGCTCTGCTCCTGCGTGTCGTGCCCCTTTGCTAGCTGCTACCTCTGTTCCGACGCTGCGGTTCGTAGTCGGTTGCCGCTCTGTGATCTGCGACACGCGCACGCTCGCCGAGATGCCCACGTTCTCCCGTAATGGGGGTGAAGCGAGGTTGGCGACATGATGGCGAGGGCGAGGGCGAGGGCGAGGGCGAGGATAGGTCCCGCTTTGAGGGACCGAAGCGAGGACACGTGCGACGCCACTTGGCGGCCGCATCGCTTGGACGCTTGTGATTGCATGATCATGATGCGCTGTCTGCTGTCTGCATCCAACGCGACTGGCGACTGGTAAACATGGAGAACTTTGCGAGTTCATGTCGGCTGTGCATGACAGCATGGGCCATGGGCCATGGGCCATGAGGCCATGAGGGACATGCGGCATGTGGGCGGGAGGAGGGAGGGAGATCTCCGCTCTGGGTGCGTGCGGGGGGACGAGTGCGGGGCCTCCTTCGGGAGCCAGCCACCCCCGCATTACAGAGGGCAGAGGGGGGGGGGTGCCAAGCCCACCAATTCCCTGGATATGTTTCCCTGTATGGTGTCCAACCGAAGCACGGCACAGGACCCGAGGCCGCGCTGTGTCATAGAGTTTCGATCGACCCTGTCTTTACGACTACTAGAAAGTACAGTAGTGCGGTAATTACGACAAATGCAATAGATGCGACAAATGCGACAAATAGCGCTGTGTAATAATGTGTAATGTGTAATGTGCAGAGTGACATGGGAGGAGATCAGAAAGCGTTCGTCTGCCGTGTTGGTCGTGAGCGTGTCACCACTGCGATCGACGTGGATCTGTTTTATCGATCAGACGACGCGGACAGTGCGCAATGTTAGGCTTCTTCTTCTTCTTGTTCTTGTTTGTTCGTCAGTGAGCAGAGTGAACAGAGTGGTCATGAAAGAGATGCGGAATTAGAGGAGGATGCGAGCGGGTTGCGGGGAGGAGAGAGGAGGAGACGAGCAAGCATTGTCCGAGGAGAGAGTGAGTGAGTGCGGGAAAAATGACGGTGGCGATCTCTTTCCCTGTGTGTGGACGATGAACCCCCTCGGGTGATGCGCCTTTAACTGCCTCCTCCTTCCCTGTGATTCAATGAGCGTATGGCCGGCCCAGGCTCCACCGCCCTCCCCTTCCCTTCCCCCCCCCCACCTCACCCCGGCTATCCACCACCCATGATCCCAACTACTCCCCCCTCCCCCTCACTCTCTCTCCCTCACTCTCTCTCATCCTCTCCATCACTCTCTCATCGCTCAACACCATCTCTACTCCTCTCCTCCTCTTGACAACTTTACTCGCCTCTTTTACTTTACTCTACCTCAACTCCCCACACCGCATCGCCCCCTTCCACCCCTCCCTCCCCCTATCAATAGTCACTGTTTTCCACACTCATCGCCCATCGCCCATCGCTCATCGCTCATCACAACGCGAGTTGATCCATATCCACGATCCACACGCCTTGGATCCCGGCGGCATCGCGCGCTCCTCTCTCCCCTCTCCCTCCACTCCCCTCCTCCCCCGCGCTGCACGCACCCTACACGTGCTCACAGACACCCCCCCTCCACTCCCTCCACACTCGCCGCTAATCCATCACCCTCCCCCTCCATCTCTCTCCAACATCGCATCACACCACACCCCATCACCCATGACCTCTGTAGGCGTCGCTCTCACCCCTTTCCCCCACCAGCAGCAGCAGCAGCAGCAGCAGCAGCAGCAGCAGCAGCAGCAGCCGACAGGCCAAGAGCCTCCCCGCTCCTCCATCCTCCTCAATCCCCACGAACGACCCGTCATCCAGGAGAAGGAGAACAAGCCAGCATGGGGCATGGGCATGGGTAGCATGGGAATGGGCAGCATGGGCTTGGGAAGCACTAGAGGGCGTCCCCCAGCTGTAAAAGTCGCGCCCCCCGCCATTACAACCACCGTAGTCCCCCCTTCCCCCAATCCGCAGTCGGGCACCTCGGACGGCGACAAGTCTCCGCGTATCCGTTTCGCTCCACTCCCCGACCCTAATCGTCCTCGCTCTCATTCCACCGGTCACAACGTCGGCCACAAGGTCTCTGAAGGTCCCAATGGCGAGCGCGAGTACACCCTCGAGTTGCGCAACATGACCATGGACGACGAGGTGCTCAACGACAACGCCCTCGATGACGACAGCTTCTCGGGTGACGAGGATTCCGACCACGAGGATTACGACTGGGAGCGCGATAGCCGTCGCAAGTCGTGGGCCGCAGCCATGTCTATGGGCACGATGAGTTCGATGGGCATGGGCTCGGCTTGGAGTGGCACCAAGAAGCTCGTCGGCCTCAAAGACACCCCCGCCAAAAAGACCAAGCCCAGCGGTAGCTTTGGAGCCGCCTCGACCTCGCCAGTCAACCCAACGTTCCTGAACCCGACGTTCCTGAGCCCTGGCCGTCGCGGCTCGGCAGCTTCGACTGGCAGCAACAACAGCAGCAGCACTGGTCACCGCCGCACAGCATCCAACGAGAGCCGCCAGCAGCAGCCGGCCAAGATGCTCAACGGGCGAGTGTATGGTGCGCGCCGCGCGTCCGAGGCCGCCGCGCAGCAGAAGATGCGTCGCGAGCAGAATGAGCCCGAGTTTGTCGAGTGGGGCGGTGGCGGTGGCGTTGGCTCCAACAAGAACAACAAGGCGTCGGCCTCGAGCTCGGGCGACACCATGTCGCGTAGCCTTGGGTCCAAGTCGCCGTTCGACGACGACGACGGCGGTGGCATGTCGTGGGTCCGCAAGCGCCGTGAAGAGCGCGAGCGCAAGGCGCGCGAAGAGCGTGAGGCTGCGCTTGCGGCCGCAGCGGCGAACAAGGCCGCTGGCGGCGATGGCGGCGAGGAAGTCGAGGGTAACCCCGGCATGTCGCCCGGCCACCGCCCCGAAAGCGTCAGCAGTGTCTCTTCGAACGGATCAATCAGAGAGAAGCCGACGCTTCCCCTCACCCCGCATGACCCGCACTCGGAGCTGTCGGGCGCGTTTGCCGACTTTGGCGGATTCGGTGCGAGCGCCCCCAAGCGGCGCGGGACGCTCGAGGTTGCGCCCGACGCGCAGGCCGACGACCACGACTCGAGCCACCACCTCCACACGATCAAGATTCCGGGCGCGCGCTTCAGACGCCGCAGCAACGACGAGGAGGAGGAGGAGGTCAACTCTGATTTCGAGAATGACGAGGATGACGATGAGGAGGTTGAGCTGGTCAGGTGAGTGGAAAGAGGCGACGAAGAACATGCAAGAGCGAGCGCTGATATCCCTAGCCAGAAATGCGCCGCAGCGGGCGGCGTCGAGGTCTTTGCGCGCCACTTCTAGTTTGGCCGACGGCGCATTGACTCTGAGAGAGAACCTGACCGAGGTGACAGGCGTTGCGGGGAACCTGAACGAGGTGGCAGGCGTTGTATGGCGTGCAGAGTGCACTTGTATGTTGTTCGTGTAGATGGAATGAAAGAATGGATGGGTGTGGGCTGGTGGGGATGTAGGGCTTGCGAGGGGTAGTGACGAGTCCTCCAAACATCATAATGCTTCTTACTGATAAAAGATCAACGAGATCTTCAGGACAAAAAGTTGTTATTAGCCATGTGTGTTTCAAGGTCGTTATACGGCGGTTTGCACCCTTTTTGCTGATTGCCAGCAACCGTATTCGAACCATGGACCCAGCTGAGTTGGGTGAGGGATGGGTGTTGATTTATACTCCAACTTGTCCACGCACATGGCGGCGATATGAAGTAGATTTT